ATTAATAATAATAACGAGGCTCCCCCTTTGACAATCCACTAGCGCAGTGTATCTCAAACTTTTTCATACCAAACACTCATGGACCCCCGCCCACAGGGGGTCGCCAGTCCCTGGCACTGTTATTTTGGGGCTCGCGGGCTGAAAAGTTTGGGAACCCCGGAGCTAGATTGTAGGTTCAAAGGAATGAAATCTACCAATCAGCACGTCTCAAGAAACTGTAATGTGTCTCTACTAATAAGAGATAGCATACCTTAGTGATGCTGCTCTTGTCGAAAGCCTTGCAGAGGAGACCGAAGTTGTGCATACAGTCGTCGTCACTTTGCACATCAAACTTCACCTGGGTCATGTCCACAGAGCCGGGAACGACCAAGTCCATCATCTGACAGTGGCACGCACCTGCAGGATAAACACAGACGGGTTAGAAAGAGGTGTCGGTAGAACTGGTGTTTTTACATCGCAGTGAGGATATAACGCTGTGCTTTGGGTAACCCCAAAGGAAGATTTAGATTTTCGCATAATATCTGCTCAGACTGATGAGTTACCTGAACCCATCTGCCGCACATCTTTGAATTGGGTCTTCAGCAGGTTGTTTATCCAGACCACCAGATAGTGACGGCTGCTTTTATCTTTGCTGTTGGACTCAGGAGTCACAAGCACGGGACTCGCCATCTCGCAGCTCTCTGAGAAAAAAGAAAGCTTAGATTAACGATTGAACATGCTCATGACTTTGATAGTGAGGTATAATTGAAATCACAAAATGTTGTACATTGGCTGTGGGTCAGCAGGCAGGAGTGTTGGCGGTTATATTCCAATTACTGTTATTAAATCCCAGTTTGGTTTAACCTGTAACCAGTTCCTGCGATTAATATTACCTTTACCATCCATTGTGAGACTTTTTACATTAATAGTCTTCTTTTTGGCCGTTCATATCATGGATTTGTTGGTAAATAATTGTTTTGGATTGCATTTACATGTTTACTGAAGCCAAGATTGCAAACATGCCAAGATTGTGGATGCATGAAGTGATAGAAGAGAGAAAAATGTGTGTATTTAATTGATAAACTCAAACCGTTGTTTACCATTTGTTTTATTATCTGTAATACTGCATAGTAATAATTGATGGAGATGGAAAAGGTAGCTTTACCTCAATGCAGAACATGTAGTTATATAAAACGTAAAATATGTCCATATGAAATGTAGTAGAATAGAAGATTAAAGTAGCATGGAAATACTAAAGTAAACCACCTCAAACTCAGATCTCTGTGCAACTATCTCATTAATATAACACCCACAGACAGGCATTGGTCTACAGTTGAGTCTTTTTGTGATTCAAACCAAACTACAAAAGGCCACCACCACATTGTTATTCATTCGTAAAACATGGCTGCCTGTCAGTATTACCAAAGCCAGTGTTTACCCCCCTCACCCCATGCCTGACTGCCAGGGATAGGGTGGGGGGTGAGACTGGGACAGTGGGTGGGTTATTCTAATCCCCTTTTGTCCGATGGTGGAGGACAAAGACTGGGTGCTTTCTGTCAAATATCTAATTTCAGTGGTTTGGTTGTATCTTGTTTCCTCGCTATGCGTGTTCATTAAAACAGCGATCTGGGTGTTAAGAGAGCCACGCTGCTGCTGTTTCTCCTCCCCTTCCTCCTCAATGTATAGAAAATGAAATCTCGCGTTGTCTATTTTTTGCCGCGAACATCCCCCAGTGAAATCAACTTTCACTAACAAGGAAACAGGACCTTTAACATAAGATCCTGCTACTTTTCGTGCAGAAATAACGAACAAATGCAATACACCGGAAGGTTTACAGTAACTGCCATACCGGCATGTTAGTTTCAATAATCCCGGTTTGTCTACAACAGATCACATTGCATGCACGGTGCAGGGGCTGCAGCCTGTCTTTATAATATTTACGTTGGAAGCAAGAAGCCAAAAGTCACACAATCAAACAGCCGTGTAAGATAATGTAATAACAGCTGATTGCATATGCACTGGAAATCAACGAACTAAAAGTGAATTGCCGTGATTATTAGGAAGACAAATGATCCAATCTGCTTTTGTATCGCCAATGAGCTGCTCTTTGTTTTTTTTACCCTACAAAAAGCCGGATTTACAACAACACAGGAAAATAAATGCTGTAACAACACAATCCTGCGCTCGTAACCCGTGCAAAAACTGCGTTAGGAGGAGAGAGCCTCGGTTTAATATATGGTTTAGTTGTGTGCATGCATAGCAGATATAGCAGATATATCGATGGTTACTCACCTCGCCGTTTCCCCTGTAGAAACGGTAGAAACAGATGCTGAACATTAGGTTCCTCCCGAAGCACATTTTCCTTGTGACGTCCTCTCTAGCCGGGAATGATCCATTGGACGACCGAGGCAGGAGGCTGTCCCGTAGAGACTCGCTAGCTAACGTCCCCGTCCGGGAGTACGAAACTCCCACCCCCAACCCGCCCCCAACAAGAACACAGCCTGCTTAATAATTAATCACATGTATCTTAATGCTAGCTTAACAAGAAATAAATATCGCCGAGGTCCAGTTACTCCCCTAACAATGATGCCGATTAATAATGAACTAGTCCATACTTTGCTAGCTTACGGTCATCTCTAACCGATTGTAAGAACTTACAAACGTGCTAACGAGCTAGCTGTTAGAGTACTTTAAAGTTCGCAGCTTCCAATACAAACTAACGTCGCCTAACATGTTGAATATTACACCTCTAGACGAATAGCATTTCAATTAATTATATCATGGTGATCTGCACAATAGTTGATTCTATCTTCATTTCTGTTAGTACGGGAGAGAAGTCTTTATAGCAACACAAATGCGATGTTGTAATCGGAGGGGCTTAGGTTTCGGTCTTACTGGCGAATTAACCGTGTATATGTCGCCAGTTGAAATATGAAATATCACATGATTGTTAGCTTTGCCTGCTGACTTTACATAAAGTCGGCTGTAACAGTTTTACGATACCAGTGTTCACAAACCGTAATAACAGTTGTTTGAGTATTAGCTGTTTCTTTAACGGCCCATTTAATGTACCGACAGTTGTAACAGAGTAATGGCGGCGGTGCTGTTTCAGGCCAAAAGGTGGACGTAAATACTTTTTATAGCCACAAAAAAGGCGATATGTTATAAGCGAACCTTAACCTGAATATCGGCTATGGTTAGTTTCGGTCATATTGGCTAATTAATGGTGGTAGATATGTCACATTGAAAACTGAAAATAAAATAAATACGGATCGGCCGTGGCCGTCTAAACAATACCAGTTTTCACACATTAATAATGGCAGTAACGGCGGTTGTTGTTTGGATATTAGGTCTGTTTCTTTATCGCATGAACCGACCGATATAACAGTAATGGCGGCGACGCTGTTTCGGGACAAAATGTGGACGTAGAGACGATCTATAGCCACAAAATGGGATGTTATCATAGATGGTATATAGAAAGGATGTTATAAGCGAACCTTAACCTGGATACAGGACAGCTATGGTTAGTTAGTTTTGATCAAACTAGCTAATTAACGGTTGGGATGAGCATAATGAAACATTGAATGAATTCACGCCTGCTGACTGTAGATGAAGTCGGCTGTATAACGGCTGTAAGGGCAATTTCGCTCGTAAGGTCTGTTTCTAAACTGTCCATAATATTATGAACCGACCGTCGGATGTAACGAAGTAATGGCGGCACTGTTTCAGACCTTTCAGACCAACGGGTGGACGTAGAGACGTTTGACTTTGTAAGCGAACCTTAAACTGAATATCTTTGGTTAGTTTCGATCATAGGACCAGTGGTGGATATTTCGATAACGATCAACAAGATGGCTTTTACCTTATTAATAAAAAAACAGTTCGCGGACTCAAAATATAAACCGACATTTTCGTATTACTGTAAATAAATGACCATGAATATAAAGCTACCCTGCGCAGACAATATGGCGCCTATTGGGCCATTTTGTGAAAGGACAAGAAGCCATTTCATAATCTGAACCTAGAGTCAAACAACATGACACTCAGGCCTAAATCGTCTATTTAAGCATATTTAAGTATCTATTCATTTATTTGACTGATAAGCCCTTCCATAAAACAATTTAGCATTTTGTTAAGGCATTTTAAGGATTTCTGACGTGACATTTGACGTGTGCAGTTACACGTCAGAGTTTGTTTTTAGGTCTTAAATTACATGATAATAGAGACAATTTAGAAATAACTAAATATTAGTCTGGGCATTAGGCTATGATACAGTAGGCCTGGTTAGAAACCTGATAGGCTATTAGGATTGGCATTTAACGCCAAACACCAGCAGTTTTACAGATTGTCGGCAGTCAGAGGATGGTACATCCCCTAGCTGTTACAGGGTTTCACAAAAAAAACATCAATAAATTACTATTTAAATTACCAAAAACTGATGTTATTTTCAATACCTCCGTGCTTGCCCATATTAGTGAAAACTATGCAAAAAAATTAAAAGTATCTTTTGTGGCAAAACATTTTGATTATACTGCTTGATATAAATATTTGAATAGAAAATGATATCAGTTTTTATCAAAGCTTGCATGTCATGTGACCCATTGCCTCCCAAATCCATATCATATATTGTAACTTCACTGGACAACACTTCTTTATATTGGATTTTCCTCATAATACAATAATTAAAGGCCTATATTTAACATTTCCCATCTCCGTCATATGTGAGCTTGAGTGTACCGAGAGTCACTGAAGAGGTCAGGGGTTAATGTGTGTGTCTGAATTTATGTTCAAGCTATAATAATAATAATGGGAGTAAATGGTTAGAGATGAGGCCAAAAGGCTGAACTCTGATGGCTGTGTGTTCAGACATTCATTGTGCTGCAGTATTTATTTATGGACAGTGTAGCCCTAAATGTGATAATGCTCTTACAGTGTGAAATATGGCTTTAATACTGAACACAACGAATGGTCCCTGAATGTGTGTTTATGATGTCATTATGAAGATGACTCTGCAGTGAGTAGATCCACTCAGTGTTCGCCTACAGCGGGGTCACGGGGGTCGGTGTGGGGGTGGGGGGGCTTTGTTTTCTCTAGCCCATCCTCCCAGTGTCCGGATAATCAAAATGTTCACTTTCCTCCATGTGGCTGACACTCAGTGACCGTGTAATAGTAGAGAAGGGGTAAACATGTGTGTGTAATCTTATTAAAAGGGTAAAATATCTATAAAGAGATCGATACTTTGCTTTATAGGTTCATCACACGTTGGGTTCAGAGGTCAGATAAAGGAATTTGGGAGTCTTAATTGTAACCATGCATGCTGACAAAAGGAGGAAGAAAAGCCACCCTCAATTCTTATGGACTGAATGACTGGTGCAACAAAGTCCAAGAAAACACTTGGTCGAGTGGAATGAAAGGCACATTTATTTATTTTTTTGGATAAATTAACCTTTATTTACCCACAACAGAGTTTCACTAACATTGAAAATTAAGTTCACCCTCAAATTTATCATTTGTACACCAATGACTCACCCTGTCACATTCAAGTGTTTTAAAAAATGGAATGAATTGAAGTAATTGGGTCCGCATTTAACAACATAAACACTATATGAAAAGATATGTGTATTGCAGAAATAATTTGAGTCTCATATATCCAGTCTATGCACTCCTTCACAAACACACAACTTTTACTAAAACACGCCTGCACATGCTTGAGATTGTTTATTCTCATATTGAGTAAGTAAGGGTTTATACCCCAAGGCCAAATCTGCCTACTTTGAGCTTCACAATGGCTTTTCATAAAGCTATGGGTGATGCGACTTATGCCTCCATATTTTATACAGTCAATTATAATGATACAATGATTTAATACTAGGAATGACATTGCTATTTAAATAACAGTTAATTATATTTCTATAAAAACTATAAAACGAAGGGCAACGTTTGTTGGATTAAGACCATAAACAGCAAATTGATATATATATCTACAGTAGAAAGGACTTGTACCACAACGAATACACAATATAAAATGTTCTTGACAAGTCAGAATGTTTTTTAAAAGATCGATAGAGCAACAGAAATATAGACATATATTACAGAAGGCGAAAAATATACATATGATATTAAATAAAATGGGGCGAAGCCTTCGAGCTATTTCAGCCAACTCGAGCACCAATCATACATTAACATGTGACGCACCTCGTCCCTCTTACAACCAACCAAACACATTCTCCTAAACATGCCGCTCTATTTAAGCTGCTGTGTTCACTTGCTATTGCTGCGTTCATGTTACTGCTGCTGTGTTTCATGTTGCTGCTACTTGCCTGCCCCACCACCACCCCAGCTTCCACCCTACCACCCCCCCAGCTCCACCCCAACTTCCACCCCAGCTCAG